TTCCCCTCCCTCTTCCCTTCCCTCTCCCTCCTTCTCTCTCCCCCTCCCTTCCCCCTTCCTCTTCTCTCTTGGACACACACGTTCCACCTCAGCTCACAGAGTTCCACAGTGGCCTTGGCCATCTGCGTGAACTTGCACCCATGATCCTGCCAGTCTGTGATTCTGGGCTAGTTTTCCTAATGAGGGCATGATTTGCTTTTTAGCCTGCCCCCTTGTTTATAAAATATGCCAAGAGAACTAAACAACCCGCTGTTCCCAGTACTTATTTACTTGCTCAAACCAAATGTTTATGTCCTTGAATACTAAACTTGAAGAAAAAGGCTTTCTCCTCGTGGGAAAGCTAAGATGATCACTGAGGGTTCTTTCTGGAAGATAGCTGAAGGCCTGCTTTTCAGTAAACATTCAACTTACGGTGCCTTAGGAACTGGCGCGTGTGTGTGTGTGTGTAGAGGGGGGTGGTGAGGGGCGGTTGTGAGGGTGCTCGAGGAGCCTCTGTTTGCTGCCCCTCCAGACCTTCCCTCGAAGCCCTTCCCCTTCCCCGTGTTGGATCAGAGCCCCCTCTCCAGGGCCTCGTGCCACAGTCCGCATCCGCACACTGGCCCCCTGAGAAGTGAAGCTCATCCCGCCCTGCCTCCCAGCCAGGCGCAGCACCCTGTGCTTGGCGTGTTCTAAAACCCTCACTGAGATGCAACCGAGGAAGAAGACAGAAAGGCAGTGTTTACTAACTCCTTCTCTTGTGCCTCGCTGTGCCGGCTTCCAGCTCGCCTGCTGGAGCAGCTGGGGCGGGGGTTCACGGTCAACCCCGGGAGCTTCCAGGCAGCCGCCCCCAGGCGACTCAGAACCTGGCACCTGTGTTTCCTGGATGCTGCCCAGGTGAGCCTGAGAGAGCCGGGTCCCAGGGCCTGCCCAGGACGGCTCCGGCTGCTGAGTTCCTTCCTTTCAAGTGGGCTTTCCCGGTGCACATCTGACACGAATCACATTATCTGTCTTCTCCTGGCAGGTTTTGTGCTAAATACACATTTGCCACCTTTCCTTGTTTCTTTTTCCAACAAGGAGAAACATTTCCTTGTTACCTTAGCCAGATTATTTAGGAGAGGAGTGTAAATTGAAGCCATTTATCTTGAAATGTGCTGCAGGGGCACATTGTTTATACAAGTGAAAGAAATTGTAGCAGCGCGGGGTATTTGGTCTGGTCTGCAAGGAAAAGGTGTCTCAAGTTTTCCTTCCCCCTCCCCCTTTGTACACATGGTGTGTTAGTTAGAAGGTGCACGAAGCACGTATGCATTAGGTTTGCGTGTGTGACAGGCAAGACCATTGTTAATGGGTTTAGTGAGTATTTTTTACATGTTTATTATTGGAAATGCCTGCATTGCCAATCATAATAAAGTGAACGTTACCCCTCAAACGTCAGCCATAACGTTTGCATGACCAGAGTTTATGTATAGAGTATCCTGCCCCTTTTAGCGAGATAACAGAACGTGAATTTGTGGGGATCTTGCTGTTCTAAATGAAATCTATACATGTTTGTCAGTTGGTGGACGAGTAAGTCGTGAATTAAATTATACCCGCCAGAAGATTGGAGAAGAGGCTATGTTTAATCCTCAGCTCATGATTCAGACTCCCAAGGAAGAAGGTGCCAACATCCTGACCACAGAAGCGCTCCGGCAGCACCTGGACTCGGCGCTCCAGGCCAGCCGGGTCCACGTGTACATGTACAACAGGTGAGTGGGGGGGAAGAGCCCGCTGGGTCAGGCCCTCTTGATTTAGTAAATAAGGTTGCCCTGGAAATACACCTGGCATGTTAGTTCAAAGCGTTTTCTAGTGAAGTGATTTTTTTTAACATTTTTTTATTGA